AGGAATCATAAAATAAGAGTGAGAGTAGGATACCCACCAGAGCCAAAGCACGAGTCCAGCAGCTTTCGCTTGCCTCTTGAAGTCTAGTTGCCAGAGACAGCCACCCAATTCCAATCGGAGGATCCAGGATCTCTCATATTCGGCATTTTTATCAGAACCCTCCTGATAACCCTCCAGTGCCTCGGCATATCTACCTAACATATACTGTGCCCTCGCCCTCCCGAGAATGGCCATACCATTCCGGTTACCAAAGGATTTCGCCGACTCATCGAAACATTTCAAGGCCTGGCGCAAGGTCTCTACCCGTTCCGAAGTATCGACCATCCCAGGTCTAAGAGCCTTGGCGGGGGGTTGTAAGGAAGCGCGCAAGATCGATAGAACGCCCCGTGCGAGGAAAAGGGAAGGGTATGCGGGATTTAATCGCGACGCCTCGTTTAGAGTCGACGTAGCCGCCTGGAGATAGTAATCTTTAGTCTTCGCTTCGGACACCAGCTGGCCTTCCGGCGCGACGCGGGGGGCCTCTCTGCTCTTTCGCATATATAGCCAACATATCCATCCTAGGAGACCGAGCTTCTCCTTCGTCACGCCCTGCGCGAGGGACGAGAGACCGCGATTGAGGATGTCGATGGCATGATCGATCTGGTTTTGTTTCGCGTATGCAAGCGCAATGATAACCCAGAAGTTCTTCGCAGCTTTTTCGTTGTCGAGGAGTGTGCAGAGCTCGGTGGGATCGTCAGGAAGCTCTTCGAGACTGATTTCGACCTCACTATCGAATGTGGAGGCGGGGATGTCGATGGCAGAGGGGATATCGGAGAAACGGTAGTGTGTTAGGATGCCTTGCTCTGTGAGCGAGCCGTTGGTATATCCATTTTGGACAGTTGCCATGGTTAAAGACGTTCGGTTCGGAGACTGAAGGTAAAAAGAGGGACTGATGCAGAGGGAACAATGAGAGCCGGTTTCGGCAAGGTCTAAATCATTATCAATGACGAAGGGCTCTTAGAAAGAGTTGCACTACAGGAAAATGCAATGGTATCAGAAGACTACCCTGCATGCCACAAACGAAAGGAGTATGTGCAGCGGTGCATGAGTTGAATGCGGAGTGCTTCCTTCATTGTCCATCGATGCTGACTTTTGTCCACCGTCAAAAAGTTGGAGCTGTGGCTGGTGACCGCCCAGCCACATGCACGTGACCTCAAGTTCGGAACAGGTTGGTTCCAAGGTTTAAAACCAGGAGTTTGGCGCAAATGCATGCACGAAGGAGTGCCCATTGATATAAATAAATAATAATGTGAAAGTTTCCTAGACGATCCTTGTACTGACCTATCCAAATAAGTAAAAAAAGGAAAATTAAGGACCCGAACGAAACACCCCAACAAAGCAGGTTCTTTCCAAAAAGAATACTAGTAGTTCTGTCCAACAAGGGTATACCCCACCAGCACATCACGTCATGATAAAACAAAAATAAATCAAATAATAGGGGGGAAACGAGACAGTTACATTAAACCCCAATTCTCCAAAATCTAGAAAATAAGCAGAAGAAAGCGCCGAGACCAGCAAGAGTCGCAAAAATCTGCAGCGACTCGCCCCACCATGACAGCTTAACGGCAGATTCAAAATAACTTGGGTTACCAGGTATAATATCCTGGTTTTGCTTGTGCGCATCACCGTTTGAAGAGGATACCCACTCGCAGGGAGGGAACCGGCCCGTTTCGTAAAACCGCTCGAGCAAGTCATCCTTCTCGATCCAACGCTTGTGCACCCATGCGTCGAACTCTTTTTGGTCATCCAGGGGGATTTCGGAAACGGCAAAGCGTCTCCAATAAAAGTTCACGACCTTGGGAGGGCGGCCTTGTAGATACGTCGAGCGAATGGTGAAGTAGGCGTCTGGGTAGCTGCCCTTTCTATAATGTACGTATTGTTGTTAGCTCCTTTCCTCTTGTTTTTAATACATATATATCTATATATATCTATATATATCAATGGGTCTTACGGTGGCCCTTCATAGCCAACTGTACAATCGTATACCCAATCAACAGTCCCCTTGAGCTGTTGCAAACAGAAAAACAAGCCCGTTGAACGTGGTAAAATCTGATGACGCAAGGGCGGGATCCCTTGTTTCGCACCATATCCGTCGCTGATCCGTTTCGTATTCCGTGACAGGTTCGTTCCTTCGGGAAAAATCAGGAGCCACATCGGGTCCAGAAGCAGTGAGCCGTGTCTGGGACCGCTATGGGCGGTTTTCAGTTTCTCGAGGCGATGCTGCAGCCGAGGCTTATCCGCAATCCACTTCCTCGCCATGAAAATGAAGCCGTAGAACATCATTCCCTGGCCGATCAGGGGGATATATTTCAGTGACTCTTTGAGTATGATGTAGATATGCCCATGCATCTGGGAGGTGTATGAGAACCACCACAGGTACAGCCAATCGGTGTAGACCTGATGGTTAGCAATCAGGACCATCCGTTCGGGAAAGTTTGTTTTCAACTTCCCGTCCCTTGTTATGAAGAACTGGCCCTGTACACTCTTGTCTCCACTAACCCTGATTGGTGTTGGGCAGAACCACTCCGTCAAAGCAGTTATGGCGATGCCCAAAAGAGCGCTTCGTCATGGCCATGTAGGCGTTGTAGTACTGGCGGTTGATGAAGTAGAGTGGAGCGCCCGCGAGCTGGGTAGCGACGATGCAGACGCAGCAGCAGTTGAACCAGGCTAGAAGAGCTAGGCTGCGGAGGATTTGAATGGTGAGGCCATAGTTTGCTGCTGGACGTTGATGGGCATGGCCCAGCACCTCTTTAGAAAAACCATCCATGCTGTCTGCTAAGTGCTTGGAGCTGGAAGCTTTGGGCAGTCGTCCTTGGCGTTATTATGAACCAGATAAAGATACGTCGTGAAGCGGACAGAGATCAGTAAACGATAGTTGGATCACGAGCTAATGATAAAGGCCAGGCAAGGATCGGGAGTCGGGCCTTGGAAACAAGGTTTGTCAGCTCAAGATGTCGGTGAGAGCTCCTAGTTTAGTTATATAACCTAGTCGTCCAATGTAGGCTGGGGGATGACCAATTTTCTCGATCTTGACGCTTAGATGAAACAAGGTCACCACATGGAGCGCTCAGATGCAGAGGAGCAGTGAACAAGGCACAGTGTAGTAAGAAATTGCATACACATGGTTTGAAGAATATTTAAGAATAACAATGGAGAATATAATTGAAAGTGTGCTATATGCTGGGGCCTGGATGTATTCGGATGTGCAGCCTTGGTCAGGACCGCCGCCGCACGTGATTATACTACTAACGGTTAACTAGTTAACTTAGCTAACTAGTTAACTAAGTTAACTAACTAACCAATTATAAGTAGCTAACAAAGCCTTGGCCAGGTTCTAGTCAACTAACCTTAATAACTACACAACTCTTTGCGATGAGAGGTTAGATGAATCCAGCTATCGCCAAACTCGAAGAGTGCAGCCTTGCAGAAATTGAAACTCCTCATTGAGGAATGTTAAAACGAAGGTGTTCATGCAACAAGGTCAACCAGCAAATGGGTAACTGATGCTTTTATTGTGGACACCAATCAACATCAGCATCCCATTCGCTTATCACCACCATGTAGAAATATATCTATGATGATCAATCTCATTAATTTTTATCATCAATGTCTACCACACACTTTCTGTGGTCATCAGCTGACATATCCTTGTGGTGGCTGTCAACACAAGAACATTATGATTCAGAGTGAACCTCAGCAGACAACTGCCAGTAAATCATGCTTTAGAGATTGTCATTCTTGACTGGGAGAAGTCTGATTGGTATCCTTTGGTATCCTAGTTATTGGGAGTACTGTATAGCTGTCTATGCAGTACATTGAGATGATGAGTGGGGCCTCTGGATTGTGAAATTTCTAGATCTATTTATATCTGAAATTTTCTGGCTGCAAATGCTATGCCTAGAACTGTGTGGTCCTAGGGCAGTTATTCTTTCAAATCTCTCTCAGAGGTTGGTTCCCTGAGAGCAAGATAGGTTTCAGAGCCACGCCTGTTGTGTCCCCGGTATGCTCAGCACAGACGGCCCGTAGCCCATTTGGGCTATCTCGCGTTCATCTACAAATCCACCCACGCCCACATTCTTTTCCTGGTCAGGGCGCTTTCATTACTCTATTATCCCTCTATATGCCCGCAGTCTCCACCTCTACCATGTCAAGAGCATATACTCAGAGAAATTCCAATTATAGGAACTTTCCCTTTCATTATTTCTACTACTTTTGGTGCAAAGGGTCATAAATTAATCACAACAGGAGGCCCCAAATCTCCCCTTCTTTAGACTATGGGTTTAGTGGGTGGCGGCAGCCTGTAGACCACAAGTGACTTACATTTTTATATTGAACAGTTTTGCACGGCCTTAGGCACTGTTACTTATGTAAGTTGCAATTCCCTGTCTTTTTTCAGACTCTTCTAATATATTTTCGTAAGGCATACCTCTAAAGCTTCCCACCGAGTGCTTCCAGGGTACAATGAAATGATCCAGGATACAGCATATAATCTTGAGGTCCGCTTACAGCGAATCGATAAGGAAATGATGCATCCTATTGTTGAAAACACTTACACCTCAGTCAGGCATAAGTGTAGCCCAGGGCTGTACTACGTTCACTTTGTGATCCGTTTTCCAATGTTATTTCATATGCGGCAAGGGCCAAGTGTATGGCAAGGGTGATATGCCGCATCTTATTCGTGAATATCAATAGTAATTGATGAACAATCTTGCCAATTTTATGACTAGCAACCATGTCAATCTTAACTTAAATCTTCATCATGTCTCGAAACAGAAACCATGTGTGGTCATTGCCAAAGCTATTCAGGGAGGCTAGCTCACCAGTTGCCACACAAACGCTAGAACGGCCACCAAACAAGTAAAGGTAAGAAGCAAATTTTTTAAAACCGTCACTTTATGTTTTTGGAGCCCATTTTCAACTTTCTTCTGAAACTCTGACGAGTCATTTCTTCTGGGAAACGGTTGGCCGTGCGGAACCTCCTTTCCTAAGAATTTGCATAATGGCTCCCAACCGTCTTCAACTTTCCACTCCAGCAACCGTTCCGGTGGAACAAGGCCTCGGATCATCGCAGAATGCTCTCGATTTATCCACTTCCCGCAGTTGCCCAATCCCGAATGCAATGAAGAGTCAGAGCACCTGAAGAGTCGCATCAAAAGAAAACGCTGATACACATGCATACCCCACCACAACTCTCCGCTGAACCAAGAAAACATCCATAAAAGCCAGTTGTTGTCTACCGCGTGACAGAGATTCTTGACTGCGCTTGCATGCCATTTATCCAGGTCGCTTCGAACGTTAAGAATGACTTTGGCGTCGGGATAGGCAGCAATTATTTCTGCGGCGAAACATGATGCTGGAGCGTCTGTGACAGCCACGCTATGGCCGAGCAGTGCGTCAAACTCAGCTGTTGTGATGGTACAGTCTCCGCCACCGTGTGGGTTGTGCCACTTTTTGCGAGCGAGCCTGACCCAGGCTTGAACGTTCGAGGGTTTTTCGAAGAGGATATCCCAGCCCTATCGAGGTCGGCCGCAAAATGTGCATGCAGTGACGTTAGTATTTCCGGAACATGAGCGTCAAGAGAAGCGCAAGGAGCTGTGCACAGAGGTGATAACCTCCGGCCCAGCTGAGAAGATAGGGATATAACAGATTTGATAGGGTCGCACATGGTATGTATAATCGTATCCGAGCATTAATAGGGCATGCTGCAACGATTCAGTCCCACTACGAGGATACCCAACGCACAGAACTTCCATGGGCTTAGTTCGAACACGCGGAGGGGGTTCGGGAAACGAATAGAACCATTCGCAGAAGCGCCAGAACAGGTTATTCATACCCATGGTGGTGGGGTTGGGAAAGGCGGCAGGTGTGTATTTTTACGTATTTATTTATGTGCTTGATGGTCCACTGATATACCTCAGAATATAAGATTGAACTGGGTCGCTGATTCCCTGGCCTTCTCCAGAACCCTTTTATATGCAACTTCTATCCCCTCACGACTGGGCATCACAGAGTATCTCCGCGTTCAAAGCTGAAAAGAGCTCTGAGTAAGTGACGGACTAGTTCCCAGAGCTGAACAACCCTTCGCCCAATTGTTGGCTCCCGTGCCGAGATCATTTCCCCATAAGCCCATCGTTGATGTGTTTCACCACTTTCTTGTTCATGCCACATCCTTGTTAACTCGCCGGATGATATTCGACTCCATGTTGTCGTCTCGATATCCTATTCCCTCGTCGATATTAGTTTGGAATGATCGGCATAAAAGGGAGCAAGGGACTGTTATATAATTCCAATCTACCCTGGGCACTCCGCTACCATTACCCATGCTGGCTGAAGAGCACCACTGGCCGCGAGATTATTCGGTAATTTGTTTTACGTCTGGCAACCCAGTCTTTTAGCGCTCTTGTGGAGGCTGAGAAAGCTCCGCCACGCAGACTGAAGGCTAGGAAAAAGTATGATAGTTAGCGATCGCAATAAGAAGCTTTGTATTTTCGGGCTCTGATCTTCTTTAATGATCAGAGGAATTACAGAACCTTTTATACTGTAGGTCTGCTGCTGTCTAATATTGCTATTTATAGATATACTTTTGGATAGAGAGTTCTGTAGTTTATAATATAATCAACAATTTTTTATTACATATATATATATTGGTTGTGAATGAAGAGTGTGATGAAGAAGCTATTTGATAGATAGTGTTACTGGTGGTAACTGAGTTCTGTTGCCCCAGTAGCCCACTGCGAGGATATATTATTAGACACAAGTAGCTAGCTTCCGCCGTAGTTAATAATAGTTATTTCGCGGAGGGTGGTTTTTCGAAGCGATCCATTCTCCCCTTTCACTTTCACTCGTACCCTAGCCCAAAATTGTTTACCTAAACCAGAAATCTTAAGTGCGCCTGGAGATGGAGTTATGCAGCGTTGAGCTTTGTACCCGCTGCGTTGGAGGGTCCAAGCCTTTTCGCTGCGCGCTGAACGCCATTGTTCATTCGGGTCACAAAAAATGGCACATCAAGGCAACCTCTAGATGGATGCCCGGCCAGCCAAAGAAGAAGAAAATTCGAGAGACGTCTGGAGTTTGAAGTTTTCACTTCACACATTGATTTTGGCTTTCTTCCAACCCTTTTTAACAATACTACCACAGAGATAGAGTTGATACCCGTGACAAAACTGAGGCTCCAAAATCCTTGTTTGAAATACCTCCCTTAAAGACGGGTTCAAGTACTATTTTAGCCTCGGGCAACAGTTTCACTGAAATGGCCAGCGAATTAAGTTTCACTGTTCACGAGGATCCTTTGAGAGTGACGTACCCTTATATTGAGGGTCTATCAGTGCCAACAAGATGGCTGATGGATATCCAGACAAAAGGCGAAATTCAAAACGTGGCACCCCGGGTTTCTCGAGCTCAGCTTAAAAATGACGAGAGTTGGTACGTCTACCAAGAGATCGATAGGCCTTTCCACACCCCAAGAGATAGCGCGGTTCTTCGGTGAGAAAAACAAAATCTTAAGTTGTTTCGTGGTACATCAAGCGTTGTGCAGCTAGTTGCTGTTATTATCTCAAAAACCCCTTATTCGACGGCAGATCAGTATTATAGCCCACCTTTTATGCGAGGCATTCTGTTGGATTACCATTCGGAAAGGGCATTGGAGCAGGCTCTGAAGGCCCGCGGCGCAGATGGGCGCTACAGATTGCTGATGCCTTTTACCGGCTTCATCCCAGCAATAATACGCATATGGATCTGAAACCTTCGAACGTTGTGATTGATAATCAAGGGAATGACGTTCTAATTGATATAAGTGGTATCGGAGGGGTCACGCATAAATGGTTGGCGCCAGAGATACAGGAAATATTGGATCCTCTCTCTTTACCTTTCGAAGTGCGCCAGAGTAATGATATCTGGGCGTACAGTCAATTGTTATCGGCGATGGCAGAGCTTAACAGCAACAGTCGAGTGAAACAGCGGATGAAGGCGGTTGCAGCGCCTGCAGCAACAAAAAGCCCTGGATTGCGATTGGGTCTATCTTGTGGGATGGTTAATCTTCTCATTGTTGCAAAACTCAGCCCTACGGCCAAGGCACTAGCCAAGTAAACAGTGTCTTTGCGAGCGGCCCTTCCCAGCTCATTGATAGATATGATATGAATGGCTGAAGGTACTGATACAGCAAATACAGAACAGTGGCAGATGGATAGATTCAGGAGTGGAAAAGGGGGCCGCATATGGTTAGGTTCTTGAAACATGGTCCTTTGAATAATCCATAGAAAATCTACTCAAAACGATTGGTCATTTTTTGTTTGCCTAAATTCCTGTCCTGTAAGAACAATTATGATAGATAGGGAACCCAGAAATGCCGGAGTTGTAGGAGAAGCATTTTGGAATCACCCTTGGTGTGCTATTCTCGAGGCTGGGGAATCACAACGAATGAGGTTACGAAATGGGCAGAAGCTTTCCAGCTGATTTCGCAATGCCATCTGGCTCCACCCTCCAATGAGAGGAGCTTCATGAGAAGTTGGTGAATATCTCACTCCGAAGTGCGCGCCGAGAGATGCCCAAACTATGTTTTGTCGTGTCCTCCACCTGGCTACACGGGTCAACTCCAAGCGGCCAGAGTGGAGGTCTTGTTAGGAAAGAAGGAAGCCAGATTGATTTCATCTGCTCCAGTACTGAAGTGGGGCCTGACCGGTAATCGTCCTCAAGCCATAGTTGCCAATCCCAGTCGATCCACGCTTGGAAAGGTTGACGAACTCCTCGAGCCTCATGCCAGCGAGCCAGAGGCGAAATTGGAGTGCCAGGTAGATATTGTTGCGATTCTTTCGGGGTCTTTGGAAATCGAGAACATCCACGGCAGATTTTCCAAAGTTGACGATCACTATCCATCGGGAATCAAATCCAGGTCTGCCTAAAACGAGCACATTCCTCGGGAATAAGTCCCTATGCTGAACATTATATATGTAGAGCAGGGACTCAGCGTCGATCACTTCTTTCATAATGATTAGGCGTTCTGCCTGTAGGCTATGTGGTGGACCAAGGTCCTGTACGGAGACCCTGGGAACCGTTTCAATTAGAGTTAGTTGAAGGAAACGAGAAACTGTTCGGCTGTGACACAATTCAAGAGAGAATGAACCACGAACTTGGGTTTTACTGTTCCTTGCAACTCAGACAGAATTCTGTAACTATGCTGCGGTCTTATGTAAGTAGTCACTATCGACACAGGAAAATGGGTAACTATGCATCGTCTTGCTTATGACCAAAATAGAGAGGATCATAGACTTTGGCTAGTAGATTTATTTTGTTGGGGATGCATTTGATGAGTGGGTTCAGCAGGATATGAGTTGAGCATTCCTCTGATCCCCAGCTCTAATAGCCTCAGCTATCTTCAGCCAACTCTGATTTATGCATTTATACCTGGCAAAGGAGGCTGGCGAAGACATCGATTGAGTGGTTGTTTTCACAGTCTCTCGTCAGCTGCATCGCCGATAAGGGCACAACTACCAAACCGTGGGCTCAGGAGAATGTGAGAAAAGACGGTGACATATGCCCCTGCCACATAGCGTAGAATTGGTTTGGGGAGGTAGAGTCTAGTAGAAAAGCTCTCATTCAGAGGGCACGCCATGTTCGTTGTTTCTGGAGCATGGTTGCGCACGAAAAGGTGACGAGCAGTGCAAACCGTTCTATGGTGCTGACTAAATGGCTCCTCCTTCTTCATAGAATGAACGTTGTTATGTATTAAAACTAACTAGCCGAGCAACAACTAAATAAGATTGGGGAGCACGTGATCTAGGGTAGCCGTAGTATCCACCTACACTTCTGACGGACCCAACTAGAACTGGCGAAACAGCTCTCCGACTTCAACTTGTTCATTCAGAAAGGAATGGACGCGAATAAGTATCTGTATACGGGATAAGAATAACTACTTGTATTCCTTGTCTCCTCCTACCTACAGGTCCTACAGGTATAATATCCTGCATTAGTCTCACGGTGGGTCCTCCGCATATAGTATGATCCCCTTGACTTCCCCGCTCGTCCCGTTGCTAACAAACTTCCAATTGTCCCATGGATCCTAAACAGACGCTCGATCTTGCTCCTGATTTCTTACATCTTTTACCCAAGAACATGGTACCTCCGCATCGGACATCTCAAAGCAGCTGAGTTCCAACATATTTGTTAAAACCTTTCCTTTCCTTGGCTGTTTCTAGTTTGCTGGGAGAGAGTGTGTGAACAAGGGTCAAGAGAAAAACGGAACTGAGAGGGGAAACTGCTTGGCTTCCAGGGGACTATGGCCTCACTTAGTTGTAAGTTAAGCCCCTCAAAATTCAAGCAATACAGAAACCTATATATATCCAGTCACTTTACTCACACTTTTGTCTTATGGCTCTCTAGATCCTTGAGTTACCATCCGCTGTTTCACAAAATCAATCTCCCCTCAACTTGCCAGAGTTTAAAATACAATGGAATCGGTCGTTAGAGGAACGAGTTTCAGACGTGTTCCTGTTCCTGTTCCTGTTTCTTTTCCTGCGTGGGGACGAAAATCTGTAGCCAGAAATCGGGTTTGGCGCGCGTTCTCTGCAGCTGCGCCTCTCCGCAAAATCGAAGATATTACCCACTTACCGGATTCTGTATTCCCACGGTATGAAGGTGTGCGTCAATTTATCGATTCTTTTCTCTTTTCTATCTTCTTTTTCCAGTGGTTCAGTCTAGTCAGTCGGCACGTTGTGCGCATACTTACATGTGGGCGTTTCGTAAATAGCATCGCGGGGGAGTGACCTCCTAGCTCTCCGGTGGCCAAGGCCACCGCAGAATATCCTCCTCGTTAGGAAGAAGGGGGCGCCGCAGGTGACACAGTCTCTTATTGAATTCGCGAAGTACGTTTTGATATGTACCTCGCATACATTCTGCATTCTACTGGCTTACTAACACTTCCTCCCCTTTCCATCAGCCACTTAAAGTCTACCTATTCCCCCATTTCTATCATATTAGAGCGCGAAACCGCAGCGGAGGTGCACGATGTGCTATCATTTCCTGTATATACCAACCTCGACCTGGACAAACTACCGCCCAAAAAAATTGACCTCACAGTTACGCTAGGCGGTGACGGAACCATCCTACGTGCATCCTCCTTTTTCGCAACATCCAAACTTGTTCCTCCAATCCTTGCCTTCAGTATGGGAACATTGGGTTTCCTCGGAGAATGGAAGTTTTCCGAATACAAAGGCGCTTTCAGGGAAGTATACATGTCGGGAGCTGGACCGGGGGACCGCGCATCTCTATTGGTGCGCCATGGACAAAGAATGGGATGCAGAAAATGGCCCATCAGTGTCTTCCACGAACACTGCTCTCATCCGCAGAATGGCTGGACTTCGGTCCGCGGGAAGTCCATGGGGGCATCGAGACCTGCAAAGATCCTTGTCCGTAGTCGTCTACGGTTTGGGAGTATACACGCCAGACGGCCGCCCGGTCCACCGCGACGGCGCAACAATGGCCTCCCCCTCCGATGACGATGGCGGCGTGCACGCCATGAACGAAGTGGTCATCCACCGTGGCAAACAACCGCACCTTGCCATCGTCGAAGTCTACGTGGGCGGGCGTTTCCTCACCGAGGCTGTCGCGGACGGAATGATCATCTCCACTCCCACGGGCAGCACTGCATATAGTCTCAGCAGCGGCGGGAGCATCATCCACCCGCTCGTCCCTTCGTTGCTAGTCACACCCATCTGCCCGCGTAGTCTTAGCTTCCGCCCACTAGTCATCCCATCCAGCACGCCCGTGACGCTGAGACTCAGCGAGAAGAACCGCGGGCGCGAGGTTGAGGTTAGTATTGACGGGGTGATGATGGCGCAGGGATTGAGGGTTGGGATGGAAGTGAGGGTGTGGGGAGAAGAGATTGAGAAGGAGAATGGGGAGTGGAAGGGGGGCATTCCGTGTGTGATGAGGAAAACGTTGGGAGATGGGAATGGCGGAAATGGCGGCGGCGATGCGGCCGATGGGTGGGTCGGGGGGTTGAATGGGTTGTTGAAGTTTAATTATCCTTTTGGGTCAGACGCATGAGTTGACGTAGATTCTCCCTTTCCTATCCATCTATCTGCGCGGTAACGGTTGTTTTCTTTGATTCCCCTCATGCGATGTGGTATGTATTTTGACATTCAAGCGAAACCATGATGCGAAATTTGTCACACTGGCTTTTTGTTTTCTTGAAACATGAGAGCGCATAAAGTGAAGATCACCTTATGCCTTTTTTTCATTTATTCTCCCTTGCTGAACTGTTCAGTTTTAGAACGAGACCTCCCTCTAGTGGCTCTTGCTGCATGTATACTTACATTTCCTGGATCACTTCCCTTTCCTTCCCCTCAGTCCCCTCTACATAAATCCACTTCATCCCAACCTGTTTCTTTGTATGTATATATGTATTTACAAGCTCATGTACACAACCCCTGCAAAATAGCATTTATATGTGAAACAAGAAATTTAACTCTTAAAACTATTTCAACCCCCAAAATGCCTCGGCCATCTAGCCAGGGTGATGGGTTTATTTATAGCTTTGATACCGTTTCAGATGGACGATGGGGATGGTTGATATCCGTGCAGGCGGGGACATCCTCCCTTTTCTTTTTTGGGGGAAGGGAACCAAGAGTTGTTTAAATGCTATTACTAATGTATGACTATTTCTTTGATTTTCTCCTCTTCTTCTATTCATTGTTTGTGTTACTGTGTTGGAACTAAAGGTTAGATAGAGTGTGGACTCACTCATCCATACAGGAGGGAATGAAAGACGAGGAAATCGGCCTCAGGGTTGATAGTTCGCCGCTGGCCTTTTCTTTGTCTTCCCCCTCTTCTTGCAAGCGATTTATTTGTATGCTATTGTCAATGTCACTACATCCCGTAGCGCCTGGTTGTCGAGGCTGAGTCTGGTCAAGCTTTGTCATATCCATTTTGTTCGGTGTTCAGATCCTCCCTGAGACGGCATTTCGGTGGACACTTGGACGGAGCTGTGAGATAAAAAGAGATGGGAAAACCTTGCCCTGACAGTATGAGAACTTGATAACGGGAGACAGAATAAACAAAGTTCTGGCTTTTGTTCGGGTCGTATGCTTAGAGTTTGTAGCAGACCAGGAACAGGTATGTTTTGGAAATTTATATGTTTGTAAATATAAACGATTTTGCTTGTATTTCCTTTTCCCCCACAAGAAAATGGGTGAATAGATAAATAGATAAAATAAATGGACGGTAAAATATTTCACAGATTAGTTTCGTTATTATTGTCAGATAACTACAGTAACTTAGTTATTTAGTTTAAAAAAAAAAGGGACAAGGGAAGGCTTGGAACCGCGGTGTCGGGGATGGAGAAAATACATGCGAGTTACCTATGGTCGCCGCAGAAATAATAGGCGGGATGAAGTACCACTCCATACTTAAAATGAGACCGAATAAAAACAACAAAGACCAATTTATAGGCCACATAGATAGCCTCGTAGCTGCGGGGGAAATAGAAAGAAAGATGATGATTTGATCCCTCGCCAAATCTATCCGCAGCGAGTGTTTGACCGTAGTTTTTAGTTCTCTACGCAGTAAAATAATTCTTGTGTGGTTGCAGTAGTTAGCCTCTTCACCCGTTTCACCTCTTCCAACCACCTGCACAGACACTCTCTCCCTTCGCTTCCCCTCAGCCTGACCAGCAGATAAAGGCTGTCAAGGAGATATCTCAGCTTGGTGTATCTTCTGGAGGGCTTGGGTCATTCGCCCTCTTCCTCTTTCTCCTCTCCGTTTGCTATTTTCCATTCCCTTGTCCCAGTTAACTACATAGCAGTAAGTGTACTTTCCCCCCCTCTTTGGCGTTCCGCCCGTAACCCACACGAGCATTCAACATCTTTCGCTCGACTTTACTGTGTAACTTATACTTCCTGCGGCTATCTCCTATCTCGGTGCGATATCTTCTGCTGTGATATTTAGATACATTTTGTCTCATTTTATGGTGATGTGTTCGTTTGCTGACCCTCAACTCTGCATTTCAGCAAATCATAGCTAGTGTCCCCGGGTCCCCATAAAAAAACCCATTCACTGTATCTACTATCAATACTACCGGCGTGGATTCCCTTATGTGTGCTCCTCTTGCCTGATCTAGAAATGGCGTCGTCTCAATCCAAGTAAGTAGCCCCTATCTGCTATCGCAAGTGGCTGGTCGGGTTGTTTTGGAAAATCATCCCACGAGTGAATCACCCCAGCAATGGCCCCTCGATTCGACACAATAATCTACAATCAGAAAATAGCGAACACGGCAGGCGTGCCTTCACTCTGCCAGCAATTGATCAAATAACACTGTCTTCACTGCTAACAATAGACCAGTGTGTATGGCCGGGACCAGTTCATGAATCCAGGGCCTGCCCCGCGCCCACCCGTCGACCGTCCCCGCGTTAACACTGGCGGATCTACCACTTCTTCTGTTGCTACGAGTTTTAGCCAGATGTCTCTAAACTCCCCTTCAACCCCAACGCCTACCCTCTCCGTCTTCCCGAATTCCAGCCAGCTTTCGTTGAGCCAAACTAAATCAAACCTGAGCAGCATGGGCGGTGTCAGCGTCATCAAAGAAGGTTATGTGCGCTGCAAGGAGGACAAGTTTCTGGCCAGCTGGAGCCAACGCTATCTCATCCTTCGCGAATTTCGACTGGACTTTCTGAAGAACGAAACTGGAAAGGTGGTGTTATCGATCCAATTGAGCCATGTCATCAGGGTTTCACGATCGGAAGATTGTAAAATGGCCTTCGAGATTATCCGGATAGCAAATCCCAAGGATGCAAATATTCGCAATCCTTCTATTAATCGAGAACTAGCTACTAAATCCATAACGTGCGAGGTCAAGAACGACGATGAAATCTACGAATGGATCGAAAAAATTCATGAGCGATGTCCTGCAATGGGAGGCGTATCGAACCCAACTAACTTCAGTCATCGTGTTCATGTCGGCTTTGACCCGCGGACAGGTGCATTACGAGGACTTCCGGCAGAGTGGGAGAAACTCTTATCTACATCAGCAATCACCAAGGAGGACTACAAGAATAACCCACAGGCCGTGATCGAAGCTTTGGAATTCTATTCCGACATTAAAATGCGTGAACAGAACCCGGATTATTACGATGGCCTGCATGGTGGTGTTAAAAGCTCCAATATGATGCCGATGGGCAATTCGATTGCTGGCCCGAGGGCCAACCAACCATCAGGACTGCAACGCCTCGATAATCAGAGCCAACGAAGCGCCACAGATCGCTCTCAGAGTTCTTCACCTGCCCAATCTCAACGCAAGGCCTCAGATCCAGAGCGCTCATACAACCAGCAGTACACGTCAGACCGGTCGAAGGAAATGCCTGACACAGAGCAGCGACGTCGTATGGACGAAGAGGCCCGCCGCATTCGAGAGGTTCAGCGTCAGCGTGAAGAAGAGCAAAATCGTCGCGATCATGAGGCCTATAATGCTTCGCTACCCAAGAATCGCGTGCCAGTTGCCCAGCAGGAGCTTGGAGGCTATTCAGATCCAGATCGATATAACCCTTCGAGAGCACCACCTAAGGTTCCTGGTGCTGACCGCAGTCGACAACAAACACCAGGTTCATTGAGACAGATTACTGCTCAGCGTCCGGCTCCTTCACCGCCTACGGCTCAACAGAATGGAACACAGCCATCTTCACAAAGGTCAGGGGATGAAGCTGCCCAACACGGTTCCCTACGTTCTGTTCCACGTCAAGATGGATCCCGTCCACAACAGTCTTCGAGCGCTACTCGCTACAATGGTGGAGATGCGCGTGGCCAAACGCCAATTAAACGCCCAACACAAAACAATGGCGCTAGCCCTCAAGGCCCTGCTCCGAGTCGTCTCCCGGCTCCTGTACAGCCAGTTAAACCTCTTAACATTGCTAATAAGCAAACAGCTGCTAGCACGAAAAAGGCCGCAACTCCCGATGCGGTTCGTCAGGCTGAAGCTGCCCTGACGAAGAAACCCGCGGAGTCTCGGCATAAGGATGTGCGGATGTCGACCATGACGGAAAGTGAAGTGATGGAGAGACTCAAGCAGATCGTTTCGAGAACCAACCCTAAAGAGTCATATCATAAATATCGCAAAATTGGACAGGGAGCGTCTGGGTCTGTATATGTGGCCCGCGTCAATGATAAGGCACCATCTTACGTCGCCCAAGAGGTCTACCAGAAAAATGGTTCTCGCAGCCAGGTTGCCATTAAGCAAATGGATCTGAGGAGCCAACCTCGTAAAGAGCTGATCGTGAACGAAATCATCGTGATGAAGGGTAGTTCACACCCCAACATTGTCAACTACCTTGAGTCTTTCCTGCAGGAGCAGGATAACGAGTTATGGGTTGTCATGGAGTTTATGGAAGGTGGAGCTCTTACGGATGTCATTGATAACAATCCGGTGATACAAGAGGACCAGATTGCTACTATTTGCTACGAGGTCAGTTGCATAACCCATTTGTCAGAGTTAATAATCTAACATTTTTCTCTCCCCTTAGACTTGCAAAGGCCTAGCACATCTCCATAGCCAGTCGATTATACATCGTGATATAAAGAGTGACAACGTGCTGTTAGATCGTTCTGGGAATGTGAAAATCAGTATGTATTTCTCCATATCGACACGCGATATACAAAATTTCAACCGAAGCTAACCACTACTCTTCCTTTCTCCTTTTCCAGCTGACTTCGGCTTCTGCGCCAAACTTACCGAATCGAAAAGCAAGAGAGCTACCATGGTGGGCACCCCCTACTGGATGGCGCCTGAAGTTGTGAAGCAGAAGGAATACGGCCCCCGGGTTGACATTTGGTCACTGGGCATCATGGCTATCGAGATGATCGAATCCGAGCCGCCATACCTCAACGAAGAGCCACTTAAAGCGCTATACCTCATTGCCACAAACGGAACCCCACGCCTGAAGAAACCAGACAAACTCAGCAAGGAGTTGAAATCTTTCCTCAGTGTGTGTCTCTGCGTCGATGTACAGAGCCGTGCAACCTCCGATGAACTCTTGTCTCATGAATTCCTTCGATCTGGTTGTAACCTGGCTAGTCTTTCTGAGCTACTTCGGTTCAAGAAAAATCCGGGCCAGTAAGCAAAACAAGTGGCCGGGAAAGGGAGTATTTTCTGTCTTTGCTTTTTTTTCTCTTTTTTCGTTATTTTACTGTTTTCCTTTCCTTGTTTTTTATTTCCTTAGACTCATCGAAGAGAGGAAGCACTTGCACAACGGGATCACAGCCTCCTCACTTTCTCTGTCTATTTTTCATAAACGACATTCTACGACAAGGACAACCAATGAAAACACAGGCACCAAAAACGTCACTAACGTACTATCGATCACACGGGATCGAAAAATAACTCGCGCCTCATTCGGAAAATATTTTTCCATGAAATCTACAAACGCACAAAGCACGATCTGACACGAACTTTCTAGCAGGGATTTTTATCTTCTTTTTCTTTCTCTTTTGCTTTCCTTCTCTTCCTTTTAAATGGAGCATGTGGGCGGAATCTCATTTCTACATTGCCAGATGAATGAAATTCAGAAATAATGGATTTTCGGATGGAGATTTTGAACCCTGCATAGCAACTTTTTTCTTCACTTTTTCTTTTCTTTTCTTTTCTTTTCTTTTTTTTTTTTTTTTCCATCCCTTTCTTTTGCAGATTTATTTTGTCCGTTCTGTTTGTGTTTACCTTTTACTTCTTTTTCTCCTTGCCTAACCTTGAATCTTTAACCATCCCCCTTTTTTCCCAGTGTTTGATTGTCCGTACAGGTAATTGACAGTTGGTTTCGTATGGAGTGATCTTTTTTCCTTCCACACTTTATCATCCACATTTTCCGTTCCAATTCGCTACATCACTCTCATCCCCTAGCCAGCCCTCCCATCCCATTCATTATTTCCCTCTACCGAACCCGACCTCACCCATTAACCATCAGAAAATGGAAAAAAAAAAAAAAAAAAAAAAAAAAAAAAGCGCTCTTATAAGGGAAATAGAGAAGTCGTCCACCCCTTAACTTTTTCCGCAATCCCACTTCCTTCCTTTCTCATATAGTACAAGATACCATTTATTTGCGTATTATATGACCTCCCCTCTCTTTTCCTTCACTCTCTCTCCCTCCTTCGCGGCTTCTCTAATTCAAATCAATTTCCTACCTAGCTAGCAGAAGCTTGATGCGAGAAAATTTTTTTATTTTCGTTGCCTCTACCCACCTTTTTCAAACGTTGTGTGTTTGGGTTAACTAATTCTATTTGCTAAGACATTATTCCATATTCCATTTTTTCCAATTCTTTTCTCTCTCCCCCTTCGGGTTTCTGTGTATGCTCTTGTTTTATGTAGCTAGGTGTGTCTAATTTAATTTTATTAATGCGTATACTACGTTGTTGGCCTGCCTATTCCCGTTCTACATCATGATTATTTCTATTCTTTTTCTTCTGTTAACCTTACTTTTATTTTCCATTGTTGTTTCATCGTCATATGGGCTGAGTTCTTTTTTTTTTTCTTCTATGATTTGAGAAAAGAGAAGCTTGATGTTAAAATGCACCCAGACCTCTTCAAGCTTGATGTTAAAATGCACCCAGACCTCTTCTTGTTTTTTTTTTTTGACTTATCGTAGTAGGTTACTAGTAACGAAACCAACATGTATCATGTATCATCGGGGTCCGTTTTCATTTTGAAACATTTTGAAACATCACATTTCAATCTCTTTCCTCTATGAGCTCTTAACAATATGCCGTAACCCTTTACCTAGTTCCGTAACTTCATGTTTTTATAAACTCTGGCATGTTTTATGAAGATTTAAAGTTGAGAAAGCTCGTGGGCGTTTCTACGGGCTAACAGAGGCCTAAAAAAAAAATTAAAAAAAATAAAAAATAAAAATAAAAATAAAAATTGGTGCGAAGATAAAATTATTTAAGAAGTGAATGGATAAATAAATAAATAACTAAACGGCAATATGGATATTTATGGAGTATTTCCAATATTACTAGTAGTTATATGTCATTTTTGTAGCCGAAAAGTATGTAGTAGGGGTTTTGACTTGAGGCAAAAACACGTTTTTGCCAATATATAGAAAGGAAAGGAAAGAAGATGAGTATTTACTTCGTAATCAACAGCCATACATATCAACAAATTAGTTCATAGATTCATAACCGGAAGGAGAAAAAGGAAAAAATAAAAAATAAAAAATAATATCAAAAAAAAAAATAAAAATAAAAAAATAAAAATAAAAACAACAACAACAACAACAGTGCTCGCACCCCTTCAATCCATCATCCCCCCAACCGCCCCCGCCATGACCCCCGCAACCTGCCCAAAAAACAAACCTCTCAAGATAGCCTCTCCTTCCTCCTTAGCCCAATGGCCCGCAGCGCTAAGTTTCGCTTTCCACGCTTCACGCTCATGTTCGTGCAAGTCTGCCCATTTGCGTGGATGCTGTCCTTTTTCCGCTCCTGCGTTGCTGACCTTGTCGCTGTCGCCGTCGCCATATGTATGTGGGAGAGTTGTAACAGCGACCAGCGATGGGTCATCTGGGTGTTCGTGGATAACGATCTTCATATGGTCCAGTGCAGATTCGTCGGGCGTTTCAGGGAGTGGGGTGGCCCCCGGCACCGCTCGTGAAAGCGACGAAAGCAAATCGCGGAGGCTCTGCGTCGGGGTTATTTGCATGACCGGTGTGGTTATTGTGCTTGTCACCGTTGTCGTCGTTGCGGAGATCGATAGCGGATCTGTCGGCGACCGCCATTTCTGGTATTGCGACGATAAACCGTTCTCAAATAGATATGGACGAGCAACCATTGATCGGATCTTGGGGCTAAGCCAGTCATGAGCACCCAGCGCTGGTGGTACACCGCCTCGTATCTCCGTGAAGACTTGTAGGAAGAATGCGCCCAGCGCCACGACGATCAGTGCCATAAAGCCGCTTAAGAGAGTCTGGAGAAGCTCCGAGGGCCCTGGTTGGACAAGCACGTAGCGCGGGTGGCGGGATCTGGGAGGGGAGGCAGTGACAGGGAGAGAGTGCACGACCACGGTGTTACCGACACTTATGGAGGCGAGTTTGACGTCCTGAGGTCGTACGTCTGCAGGAACTGGTTGGGCGGGCGGGGTGAAAGTTGAGAAGGCAAGGCGCGTCATGGAGAAAGGATGCACATTTCGTAGGATGGCGTATGGACGGAATTTGCTAAAGGCGGGTTTACCTTTGCGTTTGCATTCGAGCGTCAGGATCTGGATTGAGTTGTCATTGCTGGATACTGCGACTATGAATTGTCTGGTGCCCATGGCCGATTCGGAGAGCGGGCACACATCCAAGCCTAGACCAATTTTCATCCCGCGGGGAAGCCTAGTTCGTCGGACAACAGTGCCTTCAGGAGCGAGACCGAGGGAGATTATTGCTAGTTCGCAGCCAGCTCGGTCTGGAAGGTTGAGTAGGATGAGAAAGGATGTTGGGGAGAGAAATCTCAGAGCTCGGATTTTGCCTCTCTTTTTGCTCCTCGCGAAATAATCTGGGAATGGCAGGGTATAGACTACTTTGGTTTTCGGAGTCTCGTTCGATCTCGTTGTAGCAGAAACTTTCAATGTATAGATAGATATACCGTCTGTAAATGCCACCTTGAATTTCCCATTGTCGCCCTCACTGGCTGGTAGCATGTCCACATCTTCAACCTCATCTCTACCCTCCAGCCAAATCCTACCTACAATATCAGATTCCTTTGGAGCTGGTGACGTCGCATTGAACACAACCATTTCCCCCTGAGGAGCCAAACCAGTAGCTACCACACCAATACGAGGAGCCTCCTCTCCTTTCCACGGCGAAAGTCGCAGTAATCTTTGGTACGTTTCCCGTTTGTCCTTAGGTTTATACTTTGGTTTAAACAGCGACGTCTGTGACAAAGGAGTTATCATCGGTTGAGTAGGCTGCGTGACATGTTTCTTCCCTCCCTTTTTTGATTTTGCCGGTAACGTAGGGGAGCTAGCTAGTACTTCGCCGGGAGGATAATCCAGCTGAAAAGATCTGAGATGCTCATTATTGTCCCGTTGCTGCTCAGTAACGGAGCTGTTGATGCCGGCTAGAGCTATAATTGACTTGTCATTTGACTTCGATACCGCTAGGGAGGTCACTGAGTCTTCATCTCGAGATAGTTCAATATTGGCTATTTCGGATATCTCGTTGCGTTGGGAAGTATTTAGCAAGGCCTACATATACGTACAGTCAAGGTCGGCGCGAGATAGTGTTAGCCTGCCAGATGTTCCGTTCGAGGGGAACACAGTTGAACGTGGGTTTGGGTTACTTGCGATTTTATTTCCGACGCCGCTACGCCCCTCCCCTCCGCCGCCGCCTACAAGAAGAAAGCCATTATTCCGAGGGTCGAAATCGACGCCGAACAGCGGACATGATAGGGTGATTTTGGCGGAGGAGATATCTGGGGCCATGTTCGAGAACTCGAAGTCCAGCGAGATTATTGTAGATTGACGGTAGGCACAAAGCGAGATCAGAAACTAAAACTGAGAACGAGAAATTGGAACATAATATAATCAAAAACTTATGTATACAATCAGTTCAAGTAGTGTACATGAATAGCAGTTGTTTTCCTTTCGTCGTTTCTTGATATTTTTTGGAGTTTGGTTGACGTCGTCAGATCACGGGAGGAAGGTCATCATCACGTGCCGATGAGTGATAGGGGCGAGATTGCGACGAAAAGAAAATCAAGAGAAACAAAGATTGCAGTTCATGTTGAAGGATATTTTGATTGTCTCTAGTCGAGCAGTATGGTCCATGTATGATATAGCCTTTACGAATGTGAGGCATCTATACAAGTGTCAATTCTAACTGTACTGTATCGTGTTTCCTTACTCCACATCCTGCGAAACAAACTCAGGTAGCCTTTTTTTGATATCCTCCCAGACTTCCTCACCATCTACCAATGACTTGACAGCTTCGCAGATCTCCTCCTCGCTGGCACGAACCTGTTTCGTGGTATCACGTTCTCGCAGTGTGAAGGTGTTGTCTTTCACCGACTGGAAGTCTACAGTAATACCAAAGGGCGTTCCAAGCTCGTCATTGCGGGCATATCGCTTGCCGATACTTGCGGACGAATCATCGACCTTGTTGGACACTCCAAGGCGGCGGAGTTTAAGCGTGAGACGATGTATGAGAGGCTGGAATGACGGGTGATTTGAGAGTGGGACCAGGAGGACCTTTGTTGGGGCGACGATTGGTGGGAAGGAGAGCACCTATTAATTTACAAATATTAGGTATAGCTCGAGTTATTTCTTTAATGTAGGGAAAAGTAGGGAAAACTTACACCACGAGCCTCATCATTTGGTCTTGACCAATAGACGTGCTCCATCAGGCATGCAAGAATTCTGCCAATTCCGAAAGATGGTTCAATAACATTAGGAGTGTACTCCCGGATATTCTCAACTCGCGTTCGCTTCTCAATGTTGATAATGTCCTTGCCCAGCTCGACCTTACCAGAGCCAACACCTTCCACGTCTATTTCGATCTTGCCGTTTTGTTTAAGGTCGAGCGACAGTTTCTCCCGGAGATCTTGAGTCAGAGCGTTCACGGCAGCCTCAACAATCTTACCATCCTTTTTGAAGCGAGGGCCAAACTTCTTTTTATCCAAGTCTATCTGCCATTCTTCAATCCGAAGTGGTTCAGCGCGAGTCTCCCGTACGAAGAGAGAAGCACCAGTCCTGTTTTTATGTACGGTTAAATCATAGGCACTTCGGTCGGCGCAGCCAACGCACTCAATCCAACCATAGGAAGTAAATAACTCTGTATCCCAGCAGTCTTGAGCATAGTGAGCCATTTCATTCATCATATGTTGGCGCATCCGGATTTTGGTTTCATCGATTCCAATTTTTAGAAGGAAGAGTTGGATACGAGCCAGGAAGTAGCCCAGAGTCTCATTGTCGACAATCTTCTCGGCGACAGCTTTGCCGATGGTCATTTTCTCCACCTTGGTGCTGCCAGAAAGTTGGACCTCCCGGTTCAGGAATGACAGCTCCAAATCCTGCACTTCATGGAAACGGGGATGCTTCTTTCCGCCCTCTGGATCTACGAAATGTTCAATCTCAGCCATCAAAAACTCTCGTACTCGTAGAAGTCCAGACCGGGGTGAAATCTCATTCCGGAATGACTTTCCAATCGAAGCAGAGGCAAACGGCATTGACTGCTGATTGAAATCCAAAAGCTTTTGGAACGTAAGGAATTGTCCCTGCGCGGTTTCGGGTCTGAGGTACCCAGTCACACCACCACTTGGGCCAATTGAAGTCTGGAACATTAGGTTGAATGAGACCGGGGGAAGAACGTCTCCACCAGTAACTGGATTCTTGATATCGTATCTGGTAATCAGCTGCCCAAGCTCCTCACCGTTGTAGTTATCAATTTTGGCCAGAATTTCCTCGTATTCTGTGACCAGAGCGTCATCAAGCTTAACAGCCTTGGTCTCCTTTGGCTTTCTCTTCCGTTTGGCGTCCTTCTCTTCATCAACCTCCACCTTTTGGCCACGCGCCTCTTTATCGCCTTTCAGCCGTGACTCAAGCACCTCCTCTACCAAATGGTCAGCCCGAAAGATTTCACCGGTCTTGGGGTCCTTGCACATCCAATCCGCGAATTTGTCCACGTGCCCACTAGTTTTAAGCACTTCATGCGGAGTCAACATGGTACAGTGCGACCTCCAACATATCTTCTCCAGAACGGAGTGTTTTCGCCAAAGGTCAACGAC